ACCCTGCTTTGCATTGATGTGAATACAAAATCCTAATGTTTACTGTACTTTTCTGTGTAGCTTTATATGGCTGAAAAAATATTTGTGTACAGGGTTCAGATGACTGAAACTATTAATTAAGTCACATAAAAGCGGGTCAATTGGTCACGTTACGACATGTTTCAGAGGACTGCTTTATTGGTCTGACATGTTGATGGCAGCTGCTGAAAGAAACATTTTGTGTCCCTGTGCATATTGTGCGCTCCAGAAACCAGCCCCTGTGACGTCAGATCTATGTATAAATTTGGCTTTTTTTATATTAAATTAAGGGTAGTACTTACAAACAGTTGAAAAAGTCGTTGTGGTGTTATGAGCATGTTAGCTCTAGAACTCCAATGCCCAGCATGCAACAGGGTTCAGCTACGTGTGTGGTGGTCCCGCGAGAGCCGTCTGGCGGTTGGAAGTAGATCGGGAGTGTGATGAGAAGACAACTGGAACCACCCCCAAAAAATCTAAAAGACAAACCTGCACGACATGTGGGAAAAGAATTGCAAATTCTTCTTTTGTGGTACACATGAGAATACACACCGGTGAGCGACCTTTTTCTTGCAAAGTATGTGGGAAATGTTTTTCTCAAAGATCATATCTTGTGAGACACATGAGAACTCATACTGGGGAAAAACCTTTTTCATGTCCAACATGTGGGAAAAGTTTTTCTCAAATAGGACATCTTAGTGTCCATAAACGAACCCACTCAGGTGAGAAACCTTATGTGTGCACTATATGTGGGAAAGGTTTTTTTTCGAAAAGAACATCTTAGGGTCCATAAAATAACCCACTTAGAAGTTAAACCTTTTTTGTGCACTACATGTGGGAAAGGTTTTTCTCAAAAATGTTCTCTTATTGTCCATAAAAGAACCCACTCAGCTGAGAAACCTTTTGTGTGCACATGTGGGAAAAGTTTTTCTCAAAAACGTTCTCTAGATGTCCATGAAAGAACCCACTCGGGTGAGAAACCTTTTCTGTGCAATATATGTGGGAAAGGTTTTTCTCAACAAGGAAACCTTACTTACCATAAAAGAACCCACTCAGGGGAGAAAGCTTTTGTGTGCACTATATGTGGGAAAGGTTTTTCTTTGAAAAGTTATCTTGATATCCATAAAAGAACCCACTCCGGTGAGAAACTATTTGTTTGCACTATATGTGGGAAAGGTTTTTCTCAAAAAAGTAGTCTTAATATCCATAAAAGAACCCACTCAGGTGAGAAACCTTTTGTGTGCAATATATGTGGAAAAGCTTTTTCTCAAAAAGGAAACTTTACTTGCCATAAAAGAACCCACTCAGGTGAGAAACCTTTTCTGTGCAATATATGTGGGAAAGGTTTTTCTGTAAAAAGTAAACTTGAGACCCATAACAGAACCCACTAGGGTGAGAAACCTTTTGTGTGCACTATATGTGGGAAAGGTTTTTCCTCGAAAAAGTTCTCTTAATCTCCATAAAAGAACCCACTTGAGTGAGTGATCGTTTTCTTGTGAAATTTCTGGGATTTCATCCTGGAATGAGTATTGAAAGTTAATAGGAGTCCTCAAAGATAGGGAGAAGTGTTCATGATTTTTGTGATGGACGCCCCATGTTTTATGGGTTTAATCCCACTCTCAGTTGTTTTAGAGTTTGTAAATTCTTTTCAGATGCAGTTCACGCGAAATTTCCTACAGCTGTGAAGTTCTGTTTCTAATCCAAATATGACTGAAAGAGGTTCAAATCATAAAGAGGTCTGAAAAATGTTCCATATGAACACTGATATTTGAAAAACCTTAAAAGCTGTCAACACATAAACACTTGTCATTCGCGTTTCATCCATATCAGTAACAACAGAAGAAGCCAAGACTTCAAATTTAATCACCAAGAACAGAACTCTGCTGCATTTTTGTCTAATCTTTTCAGGCTTGTTAAAGTGTTAGTCTGTTTTTTTTTCCACATGAACTCATATCGTCCACTTAAGCGCTATTAAAACAAATTTGAACTGTGATTTCTCTCCTAACAAGCCAAAACTATAGATCTGAATGGAATCAGAGTGCCATGACGTTGGTTGCGTGTACGGGTGCGACTGTATATTATGTTTGTGTGTGTAAACGTTTATGTAAATGTGCATGTAGGCACCTTTCTGATTTTTAATCCATGTAAAGAAACCAAAAAAACAAACCGTAATGTGTCAGGTTTCACGAGGAAAGCTGGATGGCGTCAGGCCGGGGAGGCGTGAGGTGACCCTGGGTGACCAGAGGCGAGCTGGGACCGAAAGGTTCGACTTTACAGGCGTCGGAGAGACAGCAGCTTGAGGAATCTGAATGTATAGTGCCTTGCTTTTTGTGTACAGTTTATATACAGAAATCCTAGTCTGCATTTTTAAAGACTTTCTTTGTGATATAAGACATAGCGAATAAATCCCAATAATGCTCAACTCAGACAAGAAGTGGTTGTGTCTCCTTTGCTGCATGTGGTGCATGAAGGAATTAAGATCTCTTTTTCTAATTGTATTCAAGTGGTAAAATTGTTTAATTTTTAACAGGCTAGAGGCAGCTTGTTTTTTTTTACTTTTAAGTTCTCTTATAAGTGTCATAGTTCCATACTGGATGAGGCTCTAAACTCCTGAATTCTTTATTTATTTTCTTCCCTGCAGCCAAAAAAATATGCTGGTCATCTCAAAGTTTTTTGTAGTACGTTAAATCCTTCTTCCCGTGGTCGGTTTAACGAAGCCTAAATATTGAGCTACGTTCCAAAAGCAGGTTATACTGCCTATTTACTAACCTGGAGATATGAAACTTTTTTTCTGTTGTTTCTGAATAAATGTTAAAATGGATTTTGTTTGCCTACATACAAAAGAGATAAAATAAGTAAATACACAATGAAACAAAACAATGCATCAATTAAAATGTAATTTTCATTTCCAGCTCATCGGCTGGAAATGCACCTATGCTCTCAAGTCGAGTCACCAAAATGTCACTTAAACAACAAGCTGAAAGCCACAATGTCAAAAGTAACATTTCTAAATCAGTTGGAAAACAAATTGCAAAGCAAATGAAGCAGAATCATATCACGAGCAATGCGAGAACATCCTAGATGAGGACCAAAAGGAAAATGACATATATCTATTCCAGGTTGTTCAATATAGATAAACATAAGATAGATCAAATCATAATTAATGTTCGTAACCAACATTCATGTGCTGCAGTCAGAATGATAGGAGCAGGTAGTC